ATGATTTAGGACTTACAGAATAAACCTAAATTAATTAAGATGAATATCAGGTAGTATATCCATAAGAGCACGGGTGAGATATACACGAAGGGTAGAACTCTAAAATTTGTCTTTGATCTGTAAGCATTGATTAGACATAGTCATTCGTCTTTAGTCCAAGAGTATGAATTAGCCATAGTCATTTGTCGATAATCCGAGAGCATGGATTAAACATAGTCATTCGTCCCTAGTCCGAGATTACAGAGTGAGTAAAGTCATTTGTCGATAATCCAAGAGCATGGATTAGACATAGTCATTCGTCCCTAGTCTGAGGGTATGGAGTGGGCACATTCATTTGTCATTGATCCGAGAGCATGGATTAAACATAGTCGTTCATACCTGATCCGGGAGTATGGATTAGGTAAAGTCGTTCATTTTAGATCCGAAAGTACGGATCGTGTCGTTGTGAGGATCGACGGGGCGGGGTAAATTGCTTATATGAAATTGTACATTGCAAGTTCTAATATATATATATATATATATATATATATATATATATATATATATATATATATTATAACATTGTGGGATTGAAATCCCTATGTACTCACCAGGTTTCCCAACCTGACCCACTCAGTTTATTGTATCACAGGTAGCGATATTAAAGATACATTCTGTTGCGATATTCAAGGAGTATTAGGCCACTAGTTTAATTACTGTAAGACTTGTAATATTTCATTATGCTTATGTTTATGTATTGACAATGACTTCCTAATATTTTAATATAAATAAAATACATTTCTTCGGAAAGGGTTTGATAATATCATTATCATGTTTTTGGGAACCAATTCCGCAATATTATTCTTCAAAAAGGGTACTCTGATTTTTAAATAAGCATAAAAAAATCGGTTTTTTATGGCCGTAAAAATTGGGGATGTCACAATACATATGCTTTCAAATGTATAAATACATTTTCCATATAGCCTATTCATCCTAAGAGCCTCAAGTACCTCTCTCAGATGCTCCTTATGTTGCTCCCTGGTCTTGGATAAGACTAGAATATCATCAAAATATATGATCACTGAGTGATCGAGCCTAGGCCTGCATACCTAGTTCATGAGATCCATGAATGCGAAAAGTACATTAATCATCCCAAACAACATCACTACAAACTCATAATCTCCATGCCAAGTCCTGAAGGCCGTCTTAGGTACATTCTCATATGTCACATACATCTGATGACAACCCTAACACAGATCAATGTTGGAGAAACCAAGATGCACCCTACAACAAATCAAATAAGTTGTCGATCCTTGGCGGTGGATAACAAGTATTCATTGTGAGATTATTAAGCTCCATATAATCAACGCACATCCTGTGCGATCCATCCTTCTTCTTAACAAACAAAATCTGCGCTCCCCAAGGCGAACATCTCGGTCGAATATGCTTCTTGTCCAATAGCTCCTGAATCTGGGTGGACAACTTCTACGTCTCTGGGTGGACACACCTAAAACCAAATCAATCCTAAAATCAACTAGCCTCTCTAGAGGCACACCCAAAAAATTCGGGAAACACGTTGAGAAATTCTCGAACCACTGGCACATTAGAGATGATATTCTTTTTCTCAACTCGAGTATCCACAACATAGTCTAAGAATCCTATACAACCGTGCTGAAAATACCTTATAGACCTCACAACTGAACAAAAGGTTGGGCCGCCCCGCACACCCTTGCCTTAAACATATAATTCTCCCTACTAGGGGTTCAAATTCTGCCCATTTGCTGACCACAATGAATCAGAGCCCCAAACGGGCTCAGCCAATCCATGCCCACCACAATGCTCATCTTATTCATGGCAATAAGAATGAGGTCATTCGGGAACCTCACACTATAGATATCCTGAACACAATTATGGTAATACCTCGAAGCACTAACTGTTCGATCATCAGGTATCTCAACTACAAGAGTGTGGTCCAACGCTTCTAGAGTGATATCAAAACTCCTGTTAAATGCAAGGGATACAAACGATCGAATAGCTCTCGAATCAAACAATACTAAAGCAAGCATAAAGTTTACTAGGAACATACGTAATCACAAGCATAACAATAAGTACATAAAGAATAAAACAACATAAAAATAAAAAAGAGTAACATACAAGTGACAACGTCTGGTACTGCTCTAGCATCCTCAGTTGTGACATGAAAAGCTCTACAAGCCTCCGCCTCGCCTTAGCGGCCATCTGTGATCATGAATGTAGCTGGAGTAGGATTTATCACCCCTCTGAATGATAAACTGGGACAATTAGCCTTCTTGTGGCCAATCTGATTGAAGTGGAAATATGCCAACATCCCCTACTTGCAATCCCCACTGAAGTGACCCTCCTTGCCACAGTTGAAACAACCAAATACAAACGCACGAAAAACCCCCTCGTATGCCTTCTCGTACTTTTCAAATTAGTTGTAGCTCTTCTGATCCCTTGAACTCGAATCAATAGCCTTGCGCTTCTTCGGTGATGCTGACTATGTCTGAACCTATGCTTGCTTCCTCTCATGCTGCTGCGTCTTGAGCTCCCACTCCTATTTTCGGGTTATCACAATCATCTCTCCGAGGGTATGAAACTTGGAAGAACTCACAAACTCTCGGATCTTAGTCCACAGTATATCAGAATACTAGATTATCTTCATGGCCTTGGTGATCGCGTAGTTGGAGCAGAATAATGCCCTCTCCATAAAATTGTCGGTGATCTCCATCACCGACTCCACCTTAATCCTCTGCTCAAGAGTTAGGAACTCTCGAGTCACCCTCTCAACCTCAGCAGGAGGCACATACTCCTCCCTGGAACTGCGTGTGAACTCGACCCATGTCATTGCCATAAGTTTGACCAGGGAAATTGATCGAACAATCAGACTCCACCAGTTTCTGGCGTCCTCCGACAGCCGGTTCACAACAAACTTGACTTTTTCCTTCTCAAGGCAAAATTTAGGTTAAGTGGGTAAGTTGGGTACAAAATCCCCATTTGGAAACATTCTTTATGTAACTTTTTTTATTCTAGGGCTTTGTTAGTTTTAATATTAATGGCACCCTTATAAAGGAAACACCATTTGCATGTTTAATTTTAAAAAAACATTGCACAACCTTAATCTCATCCTTTCCACTCCGAAGAAAACTCCCCCACCTCTTCTGGTCCTTTGCTATGTTAAAATTTCTCATGAAGTTGCTCACACCTTTTCCTGATCATTTCCCTCTCTGATCTTTTGTGAAAACCACCCTGACCCTAATACTCTTTTTCCTTTTTCTACAGGAGGTTTGTAGCGATTTTGCTGCAAGTTGAAACTGAATTTAGATTAGTTTCTTTGTGGTGAACGGTGGAGATGAGTGGTTGTGGTGGTGAAAGTCAATTATGAATGGTGGTGTTTGTTAGGGGTGAGCAAAAACCGCACCGCAACTAAAGTTAACCGCAAAAACCGCAACTGATAAACCGCACCCACAATAAAAACTGATGGTGAGGTTTTCTGTTTTTCAAAAACCGCAAATTTACGGTGCGGTGTGGTTATTAGTTTTCAAAAACCACAAAAAAAACCTGCACCGCATATATTATATACAATTTTTTTTTATTAATTATTAATATATTAAATATTAAAAATAAGACAAGTTTCATGGATGAAAGATGGATAAAATATTAAAAGACAAAAGTGTTGGTTTTTTGTTATGTTTAACTTTGAAAAATGGTGAAATTAGACAATTTTAAGATATTTATTGTTAATTACTATTGATTTGACGTTTTTAAGATATTAGTTGTTTGTGATTTAAATGAATTGTCTTATACCTTATGGTTTTTTTTTATTATAAGTAATATGTTTGAACTCTTAAAACAGTTTGAGCTCTAAACTATGGTTAAAAAGCACATAAAATAACCGCACCAAATACAAAAAAAAAAACAAAACAAAACAAAACAAAACCGCACCAACCGGTTTTGAAAATCGATTAACCATATTTGCAGTTAGTGGTGAGGTTTTAGCTAATAACCGCACCGCGCTCACCCTTAATGTTTGTCGCTGGAAATGCATGATGTCCGGAGAAGATGAACCACACATAATTTAACGGTAAATCATGTATAAAACCCTTAATGGTAAACCATAAAAAATAAAGCTGAAATGCTTAATTAAAATTGTACTCCCTCCATTTCAAATTAAATGTCCACTTTTGACTTTTGAAATTTTTTTTATTCAAATTTGAGCTTAAATATTTTTATTTGTGTTATATATTATTTGATGAAACTTATAACACTGACAAGACATTTAAAATGAAATTCATTCGTATATTTTCCATCAAGTATTATGTATTAAAAAAATATTTAAAGTCAAAGTTAAATAATAAAATCTTTAAAATTCAAAATGTAACACAATTAATTTTGGACGGATGTAGTATTTCTTTTACTTGAATGAATGTAATACTTGAATGAATGCAATAGTAAATCATATAAAATGACTAATATTTAATAAAATAATATTTTATCATTTTAAAAAGTCATTTTTCTTTTTGAAAATAGTTATTAATATATGTTTTCTTTGTAAATCTACTCTAATAAATAAATGTTTTTTGCCACATGTCATCTTCTTTTTCATTTGGACACATGACATTTTCTAAAATTTTTAAATTTTCTATTTTCCACTTGTCATTTTATTGTATTTTTCATTTTATTAAATTAAAATTCTACATTTAATATGTAAGGTAATATATATGTAAGGTATTTATTAGAAATGTTTTATATATGTAATGTATTCAATACATTAAAGTCTCATTAATTTTAATAATGCAAAAAATTTCTCATTTTTCTTATAAATTCAAACTTTTCAAATTGTTAAAATTTTATATTTAATTTTTTTTTAAATAAACTCATATAATAAATGGGTCTCACATCACATATTTTGACACAAAAACATAAAATACATACAACAAAGCAAATACCCACCCTTGAATCCTTGACGATTGTTCCAAGTAGAAGCAGATATCTCGGCGGATAAACCGAAAAACTTGTTGCGAATTGAACTCAATGTTCGACATATTATATAGACAATGCGATAGGATCAAGTCTTGTAACAGGAACACAAACCAAAGGGTTAGCTCTAGGAATTGTGATCCCGATACCCTCTTCCATGTCAACACTAGTTAAATTCCCATCTTTTCCAGCCTTCCAATCGAAGCACTGAATCATACAACCAAGGGTTACATGAACCAGCATCAGCCCTAACGAAATCCCTGGGCACATCCTCCTCCCACTCCCAAATGGTAACAACTGAAACTGTTGTCCTCTCAGATCGAACTGCTTCTCTTCAAATCTTTCAGGCCTGAATTCAAGTGGGTTTTCCCAATAGGATGGATCTCGGCCAACACCCCATACGTTAAAAAGAATACTAGTCTTTGCTGGAATAAGATAACCTCCCAAAGTGCAACCTTCTGTTGAAAGTCTTAGAATCACTGGGGCTGCGGGGTGAAGACGTAGTGATTCCTTCACGATTGCTTGGAGATAAGGAAGGTTTGGTATGTCTGATTCTTGTAAAAGTCTGTTTTTTCCCACAACTTTCTCGATTTCTTTTACTGCTTTTGTCATTATGTTGGGATGGTTTACAAGTTCCGCCAAAGCCCACTCGGTAGTAATGGCGGAAGTGTCTGTTCCTGCCGCAATTATATCCTGCAATTTGATTACATATATGTCAGTAGTAGCCAAAACCGATAAGATATGATGTGTGGAGTATTACCAAAATGAAGGCTTTAATGTTTTCTCTGGTCAACTTTATCTCCATGCGTTCATCTTCTGAGATATCGAGTAAAAGGTCGAGCAAGTCCTTAACTTCTCCCTTCTCATTCTTCTGCTTTCTTGCCTCTTCATGCTTCTTCATGATCTTTTCTATCAAGGCATCAAATCTTCCACGAATATTCTTTGACTTTTTTCCAATCCCTTGCAAATCAAGATTCTTCAAGAACCATATATGATCCGAAAGGTTAAATGTTACAATGAGTTCATTTATGTCGGTAACTATCTTCCTTATGTCCCCTGTGTCGTCCTCTTCGTCTGTACACGTGTTGCTCATAAGCATTCTTGATATAATATTGCTTGTCATCTTCATCAACTCCCCTTCGAGTTCCACCGACTTCCCAACTTTGGCCTTTTCTGATAAATATCTTATAAACCGATGAATTTCATCGTGCCTAACTGGAAGGAGGGAGTCCAGTGTTTTGGCATTGAGGAGTTCTGACATGACTATCTTCTTCAAGAACTTCCAGTAGGATCCGTAAGGAGCAAAGATGAAGCCACGGCCTCCGTAGGCAAGATAATCCATGGATGAGTTATGGGGTCTGTCTAGAAAGAGATTTTCATATGTTTTAAATAATTCTTTCGCTGTTTCTGGTGACCCGACAACAACACAAGGTTTGGAGCCTAGCAAGAGGCGAAAAACCGGCCCGTATTGGAGAGAAAGCTTATGAAAAGCTCGATGAGGACTTGGACTGAGGAGGTGGAGATGCCCGATGATGGGAAGGGCAAATGGGCTCGGTGGAATGCGAGGTTTAGACTTCCCACGACTTAACTTGAATAGCACCGGTAGCAAGATCATGGATATGACACTTATGAGAAAGAGAATGAAGTAACCTTGAACATCAGCCATGTTTAATTGAAATCATGAATAGGAAACTATGCTCCATTTAAAGATAATGAAAACACATTTTTCCAAGCCGCCATTAAAAAATCTCCATATTTTCTCATACGGTCCAGCCATCGCCACTGGGTATTAACTCCTTGATTTGATTTCAATAATTGAGTGCAACAAATGCCTTTTAATTATCTTTTTACCTCAATGTCCAAGTTAAATTATCATTTATCTACTTAATGCTTATAAACAAAAATCGCGGATTCAATAGGAAGTGGAGGGAGTCGAAAACACAAAATATTTCCACAGAAAAAGAGGAGATCCAGAATAAATGGGTTATCAGTTGGTGGGGTGCTACACTACACCCAGATCCTTCTGTCATAAAAAATAAAATTTGGATTTTTTTTTTCTCCACAAATTTTACAATTCAGGTGAACCACGACCAAAGTGCATTAAAAACATATTCACAACAATTTCTCCCTTGGAAAATGAAGCACTTGAATCGGAGTTCTCTCTTGGTGAAATTAAAGAAGCTGTATGGTGTTGACTGAGTGACAAGGCACCCATGCCGGATGGATTTACTTTTAAATTCATCAAGGAGTTTTGGAGAGTTATTCACGTTGATTAATTTTATTACGACGATTAAAAGCTTTGAGCAGTTAGGTGAGACCAGTAGGGTGTTGAATGCCTCTTTTATATCTCTAATTCCATAAGTAAAAGATCCTGCCACCCCAAAAAGACTTTTATCGCATTAGCCTTATTGGGTGTTTGGTGAAAATCTTATCCACAGTTCTTGTCAATTGTTCTAAAATAGTGATTGCAAAAGTAGTTCCCTTTCAACAATGGTTGTTAAAATAGTGATTGCAAAAGTAATTAGCTTTCAACAATGGTTGTTAAAATCGCGATTCTAATCGTAAGATCGTACGATTCTATCTAGGTAAATCGAGCTCGATCTTACTTGAATCGATTTTCGGTAGGATCGTAGGATCGTTAATATAATTTTTTTTTTAAATTCAAAATATTTTTTTGGACTACTAAATATGTAGAATACCATTTTGAATTGTTTATCATTAAATAGTATATTATAAATGTATTTTCTATGTTTTAAATTATTTATTGTTAACTTAATGGTTTATGTATTTTTTATGTTCTAAAATGCTTTTGGTAGGATCTTAAGATCACAATTTTGCAAAGCGGAAAACAATCTTATATAAGATCCCGATCCTAATAACATTGTTTTGAACAATCGGTATCAAGGTTGCCGCATTTTGGATGACCCTTTTATTATAAATGAGACATGTTGTTGGCCTGAAAACCAATATCAAAATGATGTTCTTTAAAGTGGACATCCACAAAACTTTCGACTCCCTTAATTGGGACTTAGTCTGAAGGAGGAGGTGGATTAGAGGATGAAAAATCTTAAATCTGGTAGGGCTTCGGTCCTTGTTAATGGGCCACTTAAAAATGAATTTGGGAGCATGGGTGATAAACAACAAGTTGCATATTTCTATTTGTTTCCTACTTTTGATTTTACTAGCTAATAAACGGTACTTTTTTTTTTCTACGTGTGATTTTAGTTAATTTCAAAATGAATGTTTTGAACAAGTAGATTAGCTTTTTGATGATGTAATATTTACTAAAAGTTAAAGTAACTTTTAAATTTGGATTTATTGTATATCTATATTGCAACTAATATTATAATGAAAACTCCCAAAGAATTTTTTTATGGAATTTGCTACAAATTTTATAAGAGAAATTAAATATCTTCTTACTTTTTGTTCCTACAAATCTTTTTATCCAATTAAATGGTGACATGTGTAACATTTAATGCTCATTTAATAAAATTTAATGATATTTTAGTATATTAATCTGACACATGTCATCATTTAAATGGATAGGAGGATGTGAGGAACAAAAAATTTAAAGATATTTAATTTCTCATTTTTTTTAAACATAAGAAGAAAATTTTACATAGACGCAGCGGGTAAATGAGCAACAAGCTGTGTCGCAACCCCTTTTTGGATGACAAAACTAATTCTTTTAAAAATAACATCTATAGATCTTGAAGTCATAACATAACTATGTATGACCCGTTGGACTCTATTGAGTAGCTCCACAGCTTCTGACGCAAGGAAACCGAAAGTATCAAATGCAAAGGGTATAAATGTGTGTTGATTTTCCATGCACACTTTCTCATGTTTTGCCACTTTGCTTGATGCAGTTTTTAAAGCAATTTGCCCCACAGTGAAAACCCCACTCCCCAGACCCACAAGAGGGGAAACCCCTGTTAGATCCATGCATGCATGTTTTCCTCCAACCCATGCAAATACTAAAACATCAGCTGGTCTAAGTGTCGAGAGATTGACATTTGGCAAAATGGATCTTCATTTATTATAGTTGATGATGATATGGGTTAGGCTCTGGAATTTCAGCCTCTAACTATGGAAAATTTCTATAGTTCTTCCAAAATTTTCTTGTAGTGATTTCATGTATATAAATAGCAAATGATAGTCTACAATCTATATTAGTAATGTTAGTTGCAAAATAGTTAAATCCATGATTAATATTGCATGTATGAATTAAAGAATAATCTACTTTCTTTGAGTTTCGACAAGGTTTTAATGTAAAAGATGTGCACGCATAATAGGCCATTAAGCATAAATATACCTGCACTTTCTCGTATGAGGAATAACATAATGCATAATCTTTTTCTTTAACTATCAAGCATTTAGACTCTTTGGAATTGGTCATTATAAGTGTGTTGTGTAATATTTGGAGTCATTGGGCTTGGTTATGAGTTGTGGTTTAGTTTATTTTTGTTGGGTTTACTTGAATATCCAAAACGGATATGCCAGGTTTTTGGCATAAAAATGAGATCATCTTTGGCACACAATTTTTTTTCTACAATGTTAGAGTATGAGTTTTTCTTCCAACATTAATGTGATCTTTGTTACCTCTTTTAACAAAAGTTTTGTATTTCGTTGCTAATAGTTCCAATGATTCATTAAGCATGTTAAGGTAGAGTATCACCCTAAAATGAACTTTTGTTTCTTCTTCATCTATATGGTACTCAACTTTTTCATGTACTTCTTTAGGCTACTTTAGTTTTTTAGATTTGTTAGCAACCAAAAATCTATTAAGATTCTTCCTGTTTTCATTAGGA